TAATTAATTTACTCGATTTATATGCAAGTAATTTGTATAGTTACATGAGAAGTTTGATATATGAAACAAAACAACAACAAAAAAACGACAGCGCTTTGAAAGTATTTGAATATACTGAAAAAAAGCGGAGTTTCACTTAACGACTTTACAAGTAACTTGTTCATATACTTGCAAAAGTAGATAGACATATAGGAGTAAAGGATAATTAATTAATTTACTCGATTTATATGCAAGTAATTTGTATAGTTACATGAGAAATTTGATATATGAAACAAAACAACAACAAAAAAACGACATCGCTCTGAAAGTATTTAAATATACTGAAAAAAAGCGGAGTTTCACTTAACGACTTTACAAGTAACTTGTTCATGTACTTGCAAAAGTAGATAGTCATATAGGAGTAAAGGATAATTAATTAATTTACTCGATTTATATGCAAGTAATTTGTATAGTTTCATGAGAAGTTTGATATATGAAACAAAACAACAACAAAAAAAACGACAGCGCTCTGAAAGTATTTAAATATACTGAAAAAAAGCGGAGTTTCACTTAATGACTTTACAAGTAACTTGTTCATGTACTCGCAAAAGTAGATAGTCATGTAGGAGTAAAGGATAATTAATTAATTTACTCGATTGATATGCAAGTAATTTGTATAGTTACATGAGAAGTTTGATATATGAAACAAAACATCAACAAAAAAAAACGACAGCGCTCTGAAAGTATTTAAATATACTGAAAAAAGCGGAGTTTCACTTAACGACTTTACAAGTAACTTGTTCATGTACTTGCTAAAGTAAATAGTCATATAGGAGTAAACGATAATTAATTAATTTACTCGATTTATATGCAAGTAATTTGTATAGTTACATGAGAAGTTTGATATATGAAACAAAACAACAACAAAAAAAACGACAGCGCTCTGAAAGTATTTAAATATACTGAAAAAAAGCGGAGTTTCACTAAACGACTTTACAAGTAACTTGTTCATATACTTGCAAAAGTATATAGTCATATAGGAGTAAACGATAATTAATTAATTTACTCGATTTATATGCAAGTAATTTGTATAGTTACATGAGAAGTTTGATATATGAAACAAAACAACAAAAAAAAAACGACATCGCTCTGAAAGTATTTAAATATACTGAAAAAAGCGGAGTTTCACTTAACGACTTTACAAGTAACTTGTTCATGTACTTGCAAAAGTAGATAGTCATATAGGAGTAAACGATAATTAATTAATTTACTCGATTTATATGCAAGTAATTTGTATAGTTACATGAGAAGTTTGATATATGAAACAAAACAACAACAAAAAAAACGACAGCGCTCTGAAAGTATTGAAATATACTGAAAAAAGCGGAGTTTCACTTAACGACTTTACAAGTAACTTGTTCATGTACTTGCAAAAACTAGATAGTCATATAGGAGTAAAGGATAATTAATTAATTTACTCGATTTATATGCAAGTAATTTGTATAGTTACTTGAGAAGTTTGATATATGAAACTTCTGGCAACGTGATAATTTATTCGTACTTTCAGTAAACGCAATAGTAATGTAATAAATAATATTAACTGCCTTTGAAACCAAAGAAGTCTTTCAAGTTGATTGCAGCATTCCATTTTCTTTTTGTATGCAATTACATTAGCAAATAACGGATCTTTTTCTTGTATAGTTTCTTAACTCTTTCTGTTTTGTTTTTTGTTTTTTGTAGACTGAATGTTTATAGCAATTAGAAATGTATGTCTTAATTTATCTTTCGCGTGATGTTTCTATCGGGCTTTTGCTCACGCGAAGACTATCGAATGTCCGAAAGAAAAGCAGCTTTAACGAGAATAATCTTGTATTTATTAAAAGTTATTTTTGTTCTAAAATTTATAATTTTGTTTCATTTGTTTTAGGATAATTTTCTTATCCAGTTAAATGTCACTTTTTTTTAGATGTTACATAGTAAAGTTCTTCAGGAATCACATTTTAATAAATTAATTATAATTTGCTTACTAGATCGGGGTTTTCCAAACTTTTTCTGCAAATCGTAAATCCTGAAATTTTCACAAAACACCTTGCTTATTTAAAAAAAATTATTTATTTAATAATTAGTTAATTTTTAGGTTTTGATATTATTTATAAATTAATTTACTGCAAAATCACCCCAATGTTTTCAATATATTAATCAAAATCTCATTTCTGTTGTTGGTATTATATATTTTACGTCTTTACGTCTATCCAATTGCAATTAGTGTTTGTATTCTCGATCATTTAATAACGATGTGTCTAGAGACGTTTTCTTTCCGTAATTTATGTGGCTATTAGCTACGTCTTCCCCTGTCGGTTCGCGTGATGATCCTCCCTTCGCTGCACCATATTTTATGCACGCGAAGACGTTAAAGAAAATCTCCGCGAATAAAAAGATGTAATTGAAACTTTTACTCTGAAGATTGCGCTCGTTGGACAAACGACGGTGTATAAATTTTGAAAGCTGAATGGATGTGATCGCTACATAAAAGTATTTTGTTTTAATTAAAAAATGATTTTCGAATGTGATAAAATGACTTATTTTGATGATTGCTAAAGATTTTCTTATGTTTAATAAATCATTTTTGGCGATGACTGTCTTTCACTATGATTATTTACGCAAGATGACTGCTATGATGATATGTGGTGGATGGATGGTTTGTGACAGGTTGTAAAGCTGCCGTTTTCGGCGACCCGAATTGTACTTGTGATGGATGCGAGGACGAAGGATGATGGTATGATTGGCACTGCGTAGAGGGTGATTGGGGCCCTTTAAAAGGGGATTTCCCTTGCACCCTTGGGAGTAGTCTCCTGCGGACGCGGGGCCCCCTTCTGGGAAGCGCGCAGCCGCCGTACACTCTGTACGGATGACGGGAATGAGGAAGTGGCAGCAGCAGCAGCAGCGGAATCGTCGAGGCCAGACTGCAGCAAAAGCGCGCCGGGCGTCGCAGTCGTTGCAGAGCAGAGTGCGTTCGTTTCTGTCCAAAATTCGTCCTCTACGTCGTCGTTTCGTGTGCGTTTGTCCATCGTCTGTAGCGTGTGAAGTGCGTGTTTATGCCCATATAACCGGCGAGTGACCAGTGCGTCGCGACGTCGACGTCGTCGTCGCAGCTGCGAGAGCGCGCGGCTCTTCCCACTGCGAAGTGTCTTTTTCGCCTTAAGCTTATCGTTTTCAGCAGGAAATTCGCAAAAACTCCATCAAAGGCCTCAAATTCTTCCTCTACTCTACATATCTTAGGCACGCACGCAGAAAGGTACAAAAACAACAACCACCAATTAAAAATCCACCACACATATTCATACGGATGCGCATCGCGGCGTTTATTACGTAACTGCGAAGAGCACAAGAACCTGTCCTCTGGTGGAACAAGCAAGCAGATCCTGCGGTTTCGCTCTTGTTTTCGCCGCGAAATCCCAGAGGTTCACAGGTCTCTCTTTCTCCGGACGTCGAAAGGTCTATAATTAACCGTAGTTAGTAGGTAAACATTCCTGAAATAATGCTCCACTCTCTGTATGTGCGAGAGTATGTTGATGATGATGATGATGATCATGCAGTTCATAATTCGC